GAAAAAGTAAATGTTGTGTTTTATTTTTGAATGGAATACATTTCGAAAATGACTTTTCTTATTTTTCATAATTAATTTTATTAAGCTAAAGTGCATTAGTTGTTATAGAAAGCACATTGGCCACGATGCAGCTTTTAGCGAATATTTTCTAGCTCGGCTTTTACGAAATCTAAAACCGGAAACGTGAAGTTTATTCAAATAAGTTAGTTTGCAAATGCACATGTTATTAAATCGAGGCTCACAGGATTTTAAACATACGTTGAAGTTTCAAAGTTCAGCTTACATAAAAGCGTGACTTTTATTTAACTCTGATGGGAGAATTACGAGGTCTTTGTTTTGTTGAATGTTGAAAACATGCGGCAAATTTACGGATATTTATGTACGATACACTCGTGAGGTATATTCCGGAAATGGAAATAACCGGAAAAGAAAATATTAGCAATGTCACGTTCTAGAAAAATATAAGATTTTCTTTATCAACTGAAAAGGGTTAGAGGGAGACAGATCGTGATATGTCAGAGAAATCCGATTCACGTCAAGTAGAGTGAGAGAAGCTAACTCAGGTCAGACAAATCATCCAAAGTTCCAAAAAAAAATTTCGCCTGGAAATTGGAAGCTCATTAGCATCAATGAAATTTTAGATAAAAAAAAATTATAAATAAACGTCTACTACTAAAGACATGTCGAGGAAGCGTTCTGTTACAGAAAAGATTACTGCGAAATTACTAGATTATGGAACGAAGTTTCCATCCTCAATAAATTGAGAAATTTTCGATGAACTTCTGGGGTATCAAAAAACTAGAAGACACAGTTGAGATGATGTTTCTTTCGCGTTTGATTTTGCGAAATTTCACTTTTTTTTTGTGGTAACTCCTATAAAGTAAAAAGGATGTTGATGACATTGGTCACAGTGTAAGAGAAAAAAGGATGTTCAAGTCCTAGAGTACGAAAAAAGTTGTCTCCCGTTTCCGTCTGTCTGTCTGTCTGGTGTCTGTATCCATTATTATTATCGATGACGACATTTCAAAGAATTCTACGTTTATTTGATTTAACTGTTATACAACACTGTAGTCCTATAAGTGTGGTGTACGAATCCGCTTTGAGTTTTCCCCTAACCATAAAAATTTTGGCAAAACATAATGCGGGGTATAATAACGGTTTACGATTAGCGTAAGGCATCCCGGCGGTGGTTTAGTGGTTACGAGTCAGGAATGTGGATCGGACATCGCGGGTTCGATTCCAGACTTGGCCTTTCTTTTTTTTTTCTCTTGCATTATGTATTATCTATGGTTATGACGTCGTGACAAATTTTTTATTGATGAAATTACCCCACTTTCTAGAAAAGATGAGAAAAGGTCCCTCTTTATGTAAAAATGTAAAACCTTCTCGGGGGCCCCGAATGCATTTTTTAAGAAGGTGAAACCTTCTCGGGGGTCTCTTTTGCCTTTTTTAAAAATGCAAAACCTTCTCGAGAGTTCCACCTGTTTTATTTTTTAAATATAAAACCTTCTCGGGGGTTCCAACTGTTTTTATTAAAAATGTAAAACCTTCTCGGGGACGCCAAATATCTTTTTTTATGTGATACCTTGTCAGGGGTGCCAACTGTCTTTTTAAAAAATGTAAAATCTTCTCGAGAGTCCCACCTGTTTTATTTTTTAAATATAAAACCTTCTCGGGGACGCCAAATATCTTTTTTTATGTGAAACCTTGTCAGGGGTGCCAACTGTCTTTTTAAAAAATGTAAAACCTTCTCGAGAGTCCCACCTGTTTTTTTTTAATGTAAAACCTTCTCGGGGACGCTAAACGTCTTTTTTTTGTAAAACCTTCTTGGGAATGTTAAACGTCTTTTTTTTTGTAAAACCTTGTCGAGAGTCCCACCTGTTTTATTTTTTAAATGTAAAACCTTTTCGGGGACGCTAAACGTCTTTTTTTTGTAAAACCTTCTCGAGAGTCCCACCTGTTTTTGTTTAATGTAAAACCTTCGCGGGGATTCCAACTGTTTTTATTAAATATGTAAAACCTTCTTGGGAACGCTAAACTTTTTTTTTTATAACACCTTCTCGAGAGTCCCACCTGCTTTATTTTATAAATGTAAAACCTTCTCGGAGACGCTAAACGACTTTTTTTTGTGAAACGTTCTCGGAGTCCCAACTGTCTTCTTAAAAATTGTAAAACCTTCTCGAGAGTCCCACCTGTTTTATTTTTTAAATGTAAAACCTTCTCGAGGGCCCCAAATCTCTTCTTCTTAATGTGAAACCTTCTCGGGAGTCCCAACTGTTTTATTTTTTAAATGTAAAACCTTCTCGGGGACGCTAAACGTCTTTTTTTTGTAAAACCTCCTTGAGAGTCCCATCTGTTTTATTTTTTAAATGTAAAACCTTCTCGGGGGTCTCAACTAATTTTATTAAAAATGTAAAATTTTCTTGGGAATGTTAAACGTCTTTTTTTTGTAAAATCTTCTCGAGAGTCCCACCTGTTTTATTTTTTAAATGTAAAACCTTCTCACGGGCCCCAAATCTCTTCTTTTTAATGTGAAACCTTCTCGGGAGCCCCTTGAGTTTTTATTAAAAATGTAAAATCTTCTCGAGAGTTCCACCTGTTTTATTTTTTAAATGTAAAACCTTCTCGGGGGCCCCAAATTTCTTCTTTTTAATATGAAAGCTTCTCGAGGGTCCTAACTGTTTTTAGTAAAAATGGAAAACCTTCTCGGGGACGCCAAATATCTATTTTTATGTGAAATCTTGTCAGGGGTGCCAACTGTCTTTTTAAAAAATGTAAAACCTTCTCGAGAGTCCCACCTGTTTTTTTTTAATGTAAAACCTTCTCGGGGACGCTAAACGTCTTTTTTTTGTAAAACCTTCTCGGGGGTCTCAACTAATTTTATTAAAAATGTAAAACCTTCTTGGGAATGTTAAACGTCTTTTTTTTGTAAAACCTTGTCGAGAGTCCCACCTGTTTTATTTTTTAGATGTAAAACCTTTTCGGGGACGCTAAACGTCTTTTTTTGTAAAACCTTCTCGAGAGTCCCACCTGCTTTATTTTTTAAATGTAAAACCTTCTCGGGGACGCTAAACGTCTATTTTTTGTAAAACCTTCTCGAGAGTCCTACCTGTTTTTTTTTAATGTAAAACCTTCTCGGGGATTCCAACTGTTTTTATTAAAAATGTAAAACCTTCTCGGGGACGCTAAACGTCTTTTTTTGTGAAACCTTCTCGGAGTCCCAACTGTCTTTTTAAAAATTGTAAAACCTTCTCGAGAGTCCCACCTGTTTAATTTTTTAAATGTAAAACCTTCTCAGGGGCCCCAAATTTCTTCTTCTTAATGTGAAACCTTCTCGGGAGTCCCAACTGTTTTTATTAAAAATGTAAAACCTCCTCGAGAGTCCCACCTGTTTTTTTTTTAATGTAAAACCTTCTCGGGGATTCCAACTGTTTTTATTAAAAATGTAAAACCTTCTCGGGGACGCTAAACGTCTTTTTTTTGTGAAACCTTCTCGGAGTCCCAACTGTCTTTTTAAAAATTGTAAAACCTTCTCGAGAGTCCCACCTGTTTTATTTTTTAAATGTAAAACCTTCTCGGGGGGCCCAAATTTCTTCTTTTTAATGTGAAAGCTTCTCGGGGGTCCTAACTGTTTTTATTAAAAATTTAAAACCTTCTCGGGGACGCCAAATATCTTTTTTTATATGAAACCTTTTCAGGGGTGCCAACTGCCTTTTTAAAAAATGTAAAACCTTCTCGAGAGTCTCACCTGTTTTATGTTTTAAATGTAAAACCTTCTCGGGGCCCCAAATTTCTTCTTTTTAATGTGAAAGCTTCTCGGGGGTCCTAACTGTTTTTATTAAAAATGTAAAATCTTTTCAGGGGTGCCAACTGTTTTTTTTTTAAATGTAAAACCTTCTCGACAGTCCCACCTGTTTTTTTTTTAAATGTAAAACTTTCACGGGGACGTCAAATATCTTTTTTTATGTGAAACCTTCTCAGGGGTGCCAACTGTCTTTTTTAAAAATATAAAACCTTCTCGGGGGCGACAAGTGTTTTTTTTTTATGTGAAACCTTCTCAGGGGTCCTAACTGTTTTTTTTAAGAATGTGAAACCTTCTCGGGGCCCCAAATCTCTTTTTTTAGTAAGGTCAAATCTTCTCGGGGGTCCTAATTGTTCTTTTTTAAAAAAGGCGAAACCTTCTCGGGGGCCCTAAGTGTGTTTTTCATAAAATTAATAGTTGTTAAGTAAATGGAAAAAAAGGAAAACTAAATGTTCAAAATGTTAAAAATTTAGGTCCCTAATGAATTATAAAGATCGCATAAATATCAAAATTCAATTTGGTTTAAAGAGTTTGTAACGATGAATTGTAAAGACCTGACCTGAACTAATCTGTCCTGACCTTACCTGACCTGACCTGACCTCTTATCTACTGGATATCAATAAACATTGAAAGTTTTCGGTAAGTTTGTTTGTTATAAAAGAAGTCGGATTTGGTTCTTTCCTCTTCGAACAGTTTGTTTTTAAACAATTTTTGAGCTTTATATAAAAAATCTATTAATTTTTTTTTGGCTCCATGTTTCGCTAAAGCTGATGATGGAGTTTAGTAGGTACAGCGGAATGTAGTAGGTTTTCAATTCCTCCATGAAAATCCCCAATTCTTTCAGAAAACCTCAGTGTACCATTCGGATTCGCCAAAAAACGAGAAAGTTTTTGAAATTTCTACTTTTGAAACCCTCCGAAACCCTCCAAGAGTTAACAATACAATTTTTTTAAGACAGCATTAATATAATTTCTCGTATTTTGCGGCTGCCAAGACAAAACAGACTGACTCAGCACCCCCAAAACCCATTTTTAACTACTCGAAATAAAAAAATACTTTTCTTTTTTTTATCTCGGTCGCCAAATTCCGCCGCCTCAGCGCCCCGATTAAGTTTTCACTCGGCCAAACGAGCTTTGCGCCGACTTGGCGAAATTAGCGCAGCTGGATTCGTTGTGTTTGTTGATGGTTTTCATTTCAGGGGCCCGGCTGGCACGGATGTTCCGGAGTACACACACATATGACTAACACGAGGATAACCGATGTTGAAATATTGGAAAGGAGATATCCTGTACATGTGCGCAAGTTTATGTTACGACCAGACACCGGCGGCACCGGAAGATTTAAGGGTGGCGATGGGGTCTTAAGGGAGATACTGTTCAGGGCGCCGCTGACGCTGTCGGTTCTCACGGAGAGGAGGGTCCTCCAGCCCTACGGACTGAAAGGTGAGGGGCAGGTTTATGACCGCCACGGTGAGCTTTCACTTTCAATGCAAAGCCCGGACTGAAACAGGGTTAGTGGAATTGAAGATTTTTAGTTTCAAACAACACTACAAAAAAATTACGAAGGTCTGGGAAAGTCGAATTTGCTTCTGCTTTAGTGTTTTTTTTGGCTCCCGGTCAATACCTCCTATAATTTTTGCCCTCAATTTCGCCTGCGGCCCGCAAGAAGAAGGGCCCTCGCGGGCCCTGCCACTCCCTTATTTACGGCCCCGTCGGTGTTGTTTTTTTGCAGGTGGCGGTCCGGGCGCCCGAGGCCTCAATCTCTTAATCAGGACCGACGGTAGGACCATCAATCTCGGCCCGAAGACTGCAGTTCCCATCCAGCCCGGAGTGAGTATGACAAACCGTTTTGTTTACCGTGGGCAGGTTTTTGTTGATGGGCGTGAAGGAACCGCGACGAAGATGGATAGAGTCGATCGGAAACGGAGCGGTTCGGCGGCGGCGGCGGCGGCGTTGTTCTTCGTTCGGCTGCTGCTGCTATTAGCATAAGGCAACGTCATTGCGCCGGTTATCAATCCCGAAAAATGGGGCCGTTAAATGGCGGAACGGCGCCATCTTGGATTTATTGCGGCGTGTCGTTGCGGCGAGCACATAAAGTGGTGTTATGGTGTTATTTAAGAGTGTGCAGTGCTTGCACCGGACCGGGAATTTATTATGATTAAGGCTGAGTGGGGCGGAGTGAGGGGTGGGCGAGGGAATAATTAATGGGAGGGCGACTCGGGAGTAAGATGGGACAATGCCGCCAGGTCCTGCAGGATTAAATAATAAATTAAGCTGACTGTTTGCGGGCGAGGCAGGATTTTTGGACGACATGTAAAGCGGGGATGTCAGGATTGCTGAAATAGACCGGAGTCGTGGGCATCAGGTCAAATCATTTTTAGAACTTGTTAATTTACTAGTAGACGAAAACTTAGTTTGTAGTGAACATTTTGACAAAAAAAAAAATTAATGCGGTCTTACGAAAATTTTTCCAGGATCATGAATATGTATTTGGTTTCACAATGTCTTTTTTTTTGGCTCAAATCGGTTGTAAAATTTTTTCCTGGATCATGAATATTAACCAACTCTTAGGTAATATAGTGTGTATTATAATTGTTCAAATAGGGTATAAAAGGATGCCCTCTGGTCCGAGTGCGTTTAATATTTACCGAAATTGTCTCAGGATCGCAAATAAATGTTTAATTTTACAAGATCTGGTAAAAAAAGGGAAAAAATTGTAATTTTATTTTAGCTATAAAAAATTTCATTCAGTCCTTAATGTGATTTGTCATATCGGAAATTCTCTGAAAATCCTGAATATGTTCTTACTTTTACAATATATCTTCAAATAACCGAAATAGAGGATTTTTATTTTGGCGCGTCCACCATTTTTAGCTAAATATTATAGCTGTTCAAATCGCGCATAAAATGATGCTATCTGGTGAGAAGTGCGCTTTATATTTATCGAAATTGTCTCAAGATCACAAATATATGATTAATTTCACAAGATCTGGTTAAACAAGGCAAGAAAACTGCATTTTTTTGACGCCTCCACCATTTTTAGCTAAATATTATTTTTGCTCAAATAAGCTATAAAAAATTCCATCTAGTCCTTGACGTGATTTGTCATAACGGAAATTCTCTGAGGATCTTGCATATGTCCTGAATTTTACAATATATCATCAAGTAACCGAAAAAGAGAATTTTTATTTTGGCGCCTCCACCATTTTTAGCTGAATATTGTAATTACTCAAAGAGGCTATAAAAGAATTCCTTCTAGTCCTTAACGTGATTTGTCATAACGGAAATTCTTTGAGAATCCTGAATATGTCCTTAATTTTACAATATATTTTCAAATAACCGAAAAAGAGGATTTATATTTTGGCGCCTTCACAATTTTTATCTAAATTTTAAACTTGTTCAAATAGCCCATAAAACAATTCAATCTAGAGCTTAACGTGATTTGTCATAACAGAAAATGTCCTAGGATCCTGAACATGTCCTTAATTTTAAAATATGTCGTCAAATAACCGAAAACAAGTGGATTCTAATTTTGGCGCCTCCACCATTTTTAGCTAAATATTATCTTGTTGAAATAGGCTATAAAAGAATTCCTTCTAGTCCTTAATGTAATCTATCGTAAGTGAAATTCTCCCAGGATCCTGAATATGTCCTTAATATTAGAATATATCGTCAAATTACCGAAAAAAAGGATTTTTATTTTGGCGCGTCCACCATTTTTAGCTAAATATTGTAGTTACTCAAAGAAGCTATAAAGCAATTCCTTCTAGTCCTTAACGTGATTTGTCATAACGGAAATTCTCTGAGAATCCTGAATATGTCCTTAATTTTACAATATATTTTCAAATAACCGGAAAAGAGGATTTATATTTTGGCGCCTTCACAATTTTTACCTAATATTAAACTTGTTCAAATAGCCCATAAAACAATTCAATCTAGAGCTTAACGTGATTTGTCATAACAGAAAATCTCCTAGGATCCTGAACATGTCCTTAATTTTAAATATGTCGTCAAATAATCGAAAACAAGAGGATTCTCATTTTGGCGCCTCCACCATTTTTAGCTAAATATTATCTTGTTGTAATAGGCTAAAAAAGAATTCCTTCTAGTCTTTAATGTAATCTATCGTAAGTGAAATTCTCCCAGGATCCTGAATATGTCCTTAATATTAGAATATATCGTCAAATAACCCAAAAAAAGGATTTTCATTTTGGCGCCGCCACTAAAAATGGTATACTCGTTCAAACAGGCTATAAAAGAATTGAATCTAGTCCTTAACGTGATTCGTCGAAATGGAAATTTTCTTAGTGTCCTGAATATGTCCTTAATTTTACAATATTTCGTCAAATAACTTTAAAAACAGTACCTCCATTTTGGCGCCTCCACCATTTTTAGCTAAATATTATAGCTGTTCAAATCGCGTATAAAATGATTCCATATGGTGAGAAGTGCGCCTTATATTTATCGAAATTCTGTCAAGGTCACAAATATATGATTACTTTCACAAGATCTGGTTAAATAACGCAAAACATTGCTTTTTTATTTTGGCGCCTCCACCATTTTTAAATAAATATTTATCCTTGTTCAAATAGGCTACAATAAATTCCATCTAGTCCTTAACGTGATTGCTCATCACACCAGCAACACCGACATGTTTATTTTTCTTAAAACTCAAACTGGTTGGAAAATTAGAAAAAGAAATTAAAATAAAAATGGGACGTGTAACCTCTGAGGGCTAAGCTCTGAATTATTTCCTTAAAACGTTCCCGGAGAGAAAAGAAAGCAGGTTAAAATGAGACCGACATTAATTAGTTTTTTTCGGGCTTTGCGAATTTTAAATGAAATTTTTTTATTCAACTGTACAAGACGGTATTGTGTGGACAAGGAAAATTGCGCTTTATTCACAATACGTCAGTCACTCTAGGCTACAATGGCGACAATCAACACAGTATTTTAGCTTGAAGTTTACTGTTAATTTAATTATTATTAAATTTTTATTTATTAAAAAATTTAAATCTGGCGGCTGCTGAGGACGCGTTGCACGCTTAGGCTGGGTCAAGGACGCTTATTCTATACTGTAGAAACGTTCTGAAATACTGCTGGTTTGTCTAGATTACTGCGGATTCTGAAACACCTTTACGTCCCATTTATTTTTCATAAAACTTTTATGTTTCCTGGGACTTGTGTATCGTACTTAAAGAGGTATAACGCAGTTTGATATAAAAACCCCGTTTACCCATCCGTGGTCAGTTAACTCAAGAATTCCGTATTTCGAAGCACATATTCCACTTTTCCTCCGGAAATGCGTCCATATTAATTCGAGCAACTCCGCCGCACAGTTCCACAATAGCTACTTATTTAGAGATTACCCCAATTAATGTTTGAACTTCCTACTTCCGACTTCCTAAATTACCCGAGAGTAAATAAAACGATTATAACACGAATCCACCTTACCCGCCTCGGCAGGCATTTCTGCGAAAACATTTAATAAAAACCCCAAATCCCACTTTACACAAAAAAATTCCCAAGAAAATCTCACTTTCATCGCTTTGTATTAGATTTTTTGTGGGCTAGCATACGATCCCGGCGTACGTGAACCCCGAACTAATAGCCTCCCCAAATCCGTCTAATTGGTTGCCTACTCGCCCACTGGGACATTAATTATGTTTAATACTGTACTCGCTATTAATTTGCTAGAAAACGAGGCGGAAGTTATTAGGGTCGTCAGTCAGAGTCCTCTCGAGCTTACTTAATGCAAGGACGAGATCCCGGACTGAAAGAAAACGTTGCAAGCGAAGTGAGATATCTGGGGCTGCATTTCACAAACATCGATAAGTCGGAAGGGCGAAAGCAAGAGATCAGGCGATGCTTACACATGTATTTATACCCTTTTCTATTTTCATGGATCGTGGGGAGTGAGCTGTTCCACTTTCCGTTTTTGCGGGATTTACGCGAAGGCTTTACCATTGTGCATTCGGAGAGTAGGGGGGCGGTGCTCGTTCCTGTTTTAATTTTGGGCGTCTATTGTTATTGCTGTTATGGTGTAGAGATCAATGATTAGAAATTCCTGATGTGTTGGAAGCGATTTATTCAAAACGGGCTTAATTAAGCTTGATAGGCCAGATATACGAGGCTATTTATTGTTCTTTGCTAAAACATGAGAAATGGTTGATCGTTGGTTACTCTTAAAATAGTTCAAAAATAATTTTATTTTGTCTCGATATTTGAACACAACATTCAAGGAAGAGCTAAACGGTGGTTCAAATGAATAGTCAAAATGGCCCAGGTATGATTTACGTTTAAAAATTTGATTTTTCAAACTATTCACTAGTTTATTTATCGTTTTACGCTACGTTTTTTAGGAATATAATGAATGAATAATATAGATAGATGGAATTTTTTATACCTTATTTGACAATTGAAATAGTTAGTTAAAAATGGTGGAGGCGCCAGAATTAATAAGCGTATTTTTTTCATTTTGGATGAGCTATTGTAAAATTAAGCATACATTTGGAATCCTGGAAATATTTTCATTAAGACTACATTTCAGACCGAATGGAATTATTTATGGTCGATTATAACTTATAACATTTTGCCAAAATGAAAATTTTTCACTTATTTGATCAGATATTTTAAAATTATGTGCAGGTGAAAGTGGTAACTTGGGCTGGAGATTTTAAAATCGTCATGTTGGAAAGTAAATACTGAAAAAATTAATAACAAGATTTGTCTCGCTTTTCAAGGTTGGGTTTGTCGTCTTTTTTCTACTCTTCGTTTATAGATTTTTTGTTGCCTTTTTGTTGTTTTTGTTGATTTCTTTTTTGTGTGCT